CCCCCCCCCCGCCCCATTGCTCAGATGTTGGAGCTGTTCCCAGCCTACTGTAGCCAGATCCTGCTTTATTCTAATAAAATCCACCTACCCCAATCCAAAGCCATCTTTTGCTTCTCCAAAAAGAATTTGAACTGTACAGTGGTCAATAACCACCTAAATGTTTCCTCACTGCCACAATCGAGCACTTGTCCAGCTTCTTTCCCCAGAAAGAGATCCAGCACTGCACCGTCCCTTGTTGGGCCTTCTACATATTGATACAAAGAACTCCCCTGGATACATTAAGAAATCCACCCCCCTCCAAACTGTTAACACTAGGACTATCCCAATTTCATGTTAAGAAAGTTGAAATTCCCTCAATTACACAATTATGACTTTTGCACACTCCTGTGAACAGTCTACATATTTGCTCCTCTATTTCCCGCTGACTCTTTGGGGGCCTATAATACATTCCTAGTAAAGTAATTGCCCACTCAACATTCCTAAGTTCTACGCACAAAGCCTCACTTGAGGACCAAGACATCATCTCCTTATTGCTGTAATTGACAGCATAATTAATGGTGCTGCACCACCCACTTTTTTGTTTACACCCTCTGTCTCACCTAAAGATCCTATACCCGAGAATATCGAGTTACCAGTCCAGGCCTTCCCTCAACCACGTTTCTGTGATGGCACCAATATCACACTTCCATGTCACAACATTTCTGAACAGGTTGATTAAAAATATCACACCAGCTAGAACAGTTTGTATTAGGGGCAGAACCAGAATCTGTGGTGTAAGAACACAAAATAATAACCATGAAATTATTGAAAAACAAACAACAATTGGGGCTGGGAACAAATCAAGATAAAAAATCAATTAAAATTGATCATTAAAGTTAACAGTTTATAAAAAAAAAAAAAAAAAAAAAAAAAACTTAGTCCAACTCAAACAAAACAACAAGCAACTCACTGACCTTTCCACAGGCGTACGACCCCATACATCCAGTCTTGGAGCAGAGCTCTAGATCCCCGGACACCACTGTGAGTGGCACATTGCTGTATTCAGCTGCAATCAGAACCGGGTAGCACCTCCAAAAATCAGGGGGGGTGTACAGAGTCTGAAAAGTAAGAAGCCATCAGACAGCTAAAGAATCAAGTTATTTAAGTAGAGAACACCACATTAGGCTAAATTTTACCAACTTCAATTGGATCAACAACTTTGAAGTTGTTTCACTGCACAAAAAGTAACTTCCAACCACCCCCATACTCCCAGTCAGCTTACGCACCCATCTAAGAGCACAGCCGTAAAGTACTGAATTGAGTCACACTTCCATCATTACCTATGTTGGGTTCTGGGTACCAACCACTTAACCTTGTGGTTAAGACAGTTCATTGCCACCAAAGCTCAGCATGTAACGAGGATAAAGGGCCCATCTAATTATCAGTAGAAAAGATAAATCACTAAAGGCTGAACACCACACGTCATAAAGATGAAGATTACTGCATGACAACAACAACTATAATTAGTTGCTCATGTCAAAAGCCAGAGATGATACATCTGTCCCCATCAGAACCTCATGCAAGGCTGCCAAGTTCGCCACTCAAGACTGTTGCATCAAATTTGGGGAGGCTAGTGTAAATTTGATATTAATTCTTTTAGAAAGATTACCTTAAGGCATTCAATAACATTGTACATAAGACTCCTTTACAGCCCATTGTGTTAGAGGAATATTAGCATGGATAGAGGATTGGCCAACTAATAGTAGTCAGATTTGGGATAAAGGGAGCATTTTCAGGAATGGCAAAAGGAGTGGAGAGCAACAGGGATCAGTGCTGGGCCACGATTATTTACAATAAATATTAATGACTTGGATGATTGAAGTAAATTGCCAAGTTTGCAGATGACAAAAATAAGCAGGAAGGCAAGTAGTGAGGCTGACAAAAGGCTATAGAGGAAGAGAGGTTAAGTGAGTGAGCAAAAACTTGGCAGATGAGGGAAAATGTGAGATCATGCACTGGCAGGAAGAATACAGGAGCTAAATATTACTTAAAATGGAGAAAATCTATACTGTAGCTTTCTGCAGACTAAGTTTAAGAAGGGAAGGAGAGAGAAGATAGGAGATAGGAAATTGTTGGCTAATTAGCCTGACTTAGGTCATTGGTAATATTTTAGAGTCCATCATTAACGATGGGATTACAGAGCACTTCAAAGTGCACGGTAAACAGGACTGAGTTGGGTCCCGACCCGAAACATCAGCTTTCCTGCTCCTCTTATGCTGCCTGGCCTGCTGTGTTCCTCCAGCTCCACATTATGTTATCTGAATCAGCACAGCTTTGTCAAGGGGACATCATGTCTGATAGTCTGTTAGAATTGTTTAAGATGGTAACAAGCAAGTTAGACAAAAGAGAGCCTGTGGACGTGATCTGTTCAGATTTTGAGAAGGACTTTGACCTGGTACTACACAGGGGGTTGTTAATTAAAGATAAAAGCTCATGGCCTTAGAGTCAAAGTACTGGCATGGGTAGAGGACTGGGTGACTGGCAGGAGACACTGAATGAAGATAAAGGGTCTTTTTCAGGATGACAGCCAGTGATTAGTGAAGTTCAGCAGGGGTTAGTGTTAGGACAACTATTCACGTTATGCATTAACAATCTGGATAAAGAACTGAGGGCGCTGTCGCCAAGTTTACAGATGACACAAAGAAAAGCAGAGGGTAAAGAACTAGCAGACAGAATATGATGTGGCAAAGTGATGTTATGCACTTTGGTAGGAAGGAAAGAGGAATAGACTATTTTCTAAACAGGGAAAGATGTCTAAAATCTGAAGCTCAAAGGGACTTGGGAGTCCTAGTTCAGGATTCTGTTAAGTTCAGTTGGCAGTTTGGAAGATGAATGCAATGTCAGCATTCATTTTGAGAGGGCTAGAAAGCAGGCATAGAAATGTATTGCTAAGGCTGTATAAGGCTCTGGTCAAACCACATTTGAAATACTGTGAGCAGTTTTGGGCCCAATATCTGACTAAGGAAGGATGTGCTGGCACTGGAGAGGGGTCCAGAGGAGGCTAACAAGAATGATGCTAGGGATTGAAGGGCTTCTCAGGAGGGGCAGTCGAGGACTCAGTCTGTACTCCATGGAGTTTAGAAGGATGAGAGGGGGAAATCACATTGAAACTTCCAGAATATGGAGGGGCCTGGATAGAGTGGATTTGGAGAAAATGTTTCCTTCTACTAGGAAACCAGAGGGCACAGCCTCAGAGTGAAGGGACGATCCTTTAGAACAGAAATGAGGAGGAATTTCTTCAGCCAGAAAAAAAAAGTGGTGAATTTACAAAACTCATTGCCACAGAGGGCTATGGCAGCCAAGTCATTGAGTCTGTATAAGGCAGAGATAGGTAGGTTCTTGATTGGCAAGGGGATAAGGATTACAGGGAGAAGGCATGGGAATAGGGTTGAGATACATAGCCATTTTTGATTGACTGAACAGACTCAATGAGCCAAATAGTCTAAATTTGGTTACGTGTATGGTATCATGGAAAGCATCCAAGTTCATTAGCTAATAGGAAAGAAAAATTAACTGTTTCCTTTGAAGCAAACAAAATGGAGCACAGAATTTGGTCCCCTTATCTAAGGAAAGGCATATTAATATTGGAGGCAGCCAGAGAAAACTCAGTAGGCTGATACCACGTATGGAAAGACTGTGCTGAGGAGATATTGAGCAGCTTGGCAGTGTATTCAGTTCAGAAGAATTAAGGGCAACCTTAGTGAAATATACAAAGATTCTTAGGCAGCTTGATAAGGTAGTTAGAGACGTTGTTTCTCCTCAAAAAGTGAGTTCATGACCAAAGGGGAATAACCTTAACCACTTAAGACAAATATTCACTGTGCCCAAGAGGAAAAAAAAGAAATCCTTCACCAACAAGGGCTGTCAAGGCTGTGTTATTAATTATATTCAATGATGCAAGACAGATTTTTTAGATCAGTAAGGGAATCAACAGTGAGGCAAATAACACAATAAAGTGGAGATGAAAAATCAACCATGGACTCATTGCTGAACCAATCTGCAGATTAGAGTTGATGGGCCAAATGGCCTTCATACAATACTGCCCACTATTGTAAAATCAGCCAGATCATCATGCCATGAGTGTCCCTATCTCCCAAGTCAAGTGTGGTAAAAACAAATTTTGCTGGCAGTCTAATATTGAGGCTCTTGTTTTACATTTCATGAGATACACTATTAACTTCTACCCTGTAGTGCAGAGGGTGGAAAAAGAAATGAACAATAAACCTCTCAGTCTAAAGCAAGGTAGACCATCAAGCCCTCACCTAGTTCATAAGGCTCTCTCACATGGTCCAAAGTAAATACCTCAAGCAGTGTCAGAATACAGCAGATAGTTCAATCATCAGAGTTATAAATCCTGAGAAGACATCTAATGTGTAGTATTTCTGTTACCTCAGGGAATTGGAGCTGGATTACCACATGCTCCTGGCAGGGAGAAGGCCCTAAAAACCATGACAACCAAATACCCCTCCAACAGAGCGCAATCGGAAAGGGGAGAAATATTGAAAGACGGGCCGAAGTCCGCAAATATCGGCAGCAGGAACCGAGAAGAATAGGACCAGCTAACTTTCGGTGAACCATCGGCTCGGATGACAGAGATTTCAAACGGATTGTACAGAACCTCACTCACCATCGCCGCCATCACGCAATCCCACTCCCGCCAAGCAGCTCGGAGCGAACTACAGCCCTGTCTCCCAAACCCTGCAAACTAGGAGTCTCTAAAGGTCAGTGTAGACAGAAACAATCATTCCGTTTCTTTTATTTGCTGCAGGTGAGCGTTACTGTGCAACTTAAATATCCCCACTTAGCGTTGTTTGAATTTAAAGGGACAGCTGTTACAAAGGTGAGGGGGGTGGGGTTTAAGGGAGACTCACTTTGGCCCTGCGTGCATCACAATCCAATTTGTTTGGCCTTATGAAAGAAAATCAGTAATTTTCATTTAACTATAACACTTTCATAACCTGGATGCATTAAACCTTTGGAAACATCGTTGTAATAGTAGATGTCTGAGCACAACGAGATCCCAACAGCAAGGAAATAAATGGCCAGCTGTTCTATTTACCAAACGAACAGAGAATGTCAGTGAAACGCACCAGGTCTGGCAGCATCAGTATAGAGAGAGAAACAAGAGTTAAGGTTTTGAGCCTGGTATGACTCTTCTTCTGTATACTAGTATTGGTTGAGTGGTAAATGTTATTTTGACTATGAGAGCAGAAGAACTCTCATGCTTCATTGGAGGAGGATGGGCAAGATTTACAGTTTAAAACTTCAATCAGGCAGCAGCTCCTCCAACAGTGCAGCACAGCTTCAGTGCTTTTCTGGAGTGTTAACCTAGATTTTAAATCTCTCAATTGGAACTTGAAGCCACAATCTTCTGACTTGAAGGTAGATGTAGTAACTGCACCACAGTTTGAAATCGGGTTCAAACCTGGCTCACTTTAGACCTATATAACTAGACCACTTGACATAATTGGTCACTTTGGGCATCCTACCAGTGAAAGAAGTCTTTTGATACCTGGACTCACATCAGCATCTGGAGGATGCAGGTACAGTTACAATATTTAAAAGACATTTGGACAGGTCCAAGAAAAGAATGCTTTAGGAGGATATGGGCCAAACACAGGCAAATAGGAATAGTTTAGTTTGGGAAAACTGATCAGCATGGACAAGTTGGACTAAAGGGTCTGTTTCCATGCTATATGACTCTGACTGTATATAGCATCTGTTGGAAACACTGGGCATCCCAAAGCACTTTAAAGCCAATGTGGTACTTTTGAAGTGGTGGAAACTCAGCAGCCAATTTGTACATCATAAGGTCTCATAAGCTTCATTGTGCTAATGACCACAATGTCAATGAAGGTGGCTGAGAGATATTAGTTACAAGAGTACTTACAGACTTATGCTCTTTCCTTTCAAATAGTGGGGTGTGGGGACAAGTTATGGGATATGTGCATACAAATTGCTGAAGCTGGCAGAGCGGGTTTAAAAGGCATACAGGAACCTGGGTTTTCTGCAGAGGCATAAAGTAGAAAATAAAAGACATTATGGTGAGCCTTTATAAAATATGGCTTTCAGCATAACTGGAATATTATTTCCAATTCTGTACATCATATTTTCTAGAACATGAAGGCTTTGAAGAGGATGTAGAAAGGATGTACAAAAATAGACAGAGTGCTGAGAAATTAGACTTATGTGAATACAATGAAGCCAATGGCTCTGATCTCCTCAGAAATCATGCAATTATTGCAAAATGCTGCATAAAATTCCACCTGATCATGTTGCCAGTTTAATGAATTCCCTCCAGATAGCTGGAGGATTGATTCTACAAATTTGTCTGTGGGTAAATTCCCAATTTGCCTTGCGTGACAATCCCTTGGATTATGCCAAAAACCCAACTAGTTTCCTACTGACCATTAGGAAGGAAATCTGTCATACCTACCTGGTCTGGCCTCTGTGTGACTCTAGACCTATGGCAAAATGGCTGAATCCTAACTTGTGGCAGCAACACGTGAGCCTAGTGCGGACCTCGTGGCAGTGGTAAGTGAGCCAATACTTACTTTATTGGGGCGAGCACGGGATCTGGCATTGGAACCAGCTGCTGCTACATCGGTGGAGGTGACATTGGCAAGGTAGGCCCAATGGCGAAAGATGGCACCTGAGGATGGGCAACTTAATTGTTGGTTGGGTCCAGTACTGGTGGTGGCAAAGAGGTGGCAGTGACCGTGATGAGCTGGGCCCAGTGGCGAGAGGTGCGACTCTGACGTTGCCGGGTCCTGCGCAGTCAGTGGCGAGACAATGGCAGAGGAGAATCGGCCCAGTGGCGAAAGATGGCACCTGATGTGTGGGGACTTCAATGTTGTTTGGGTCCTGGGTAGACAGCGGCGAGGCGGTGGAGGAGGGATAGTGGCACAGGTGTCATTGATGATGAGCTGGCTTAGGACTGATGGACTCTCTTTAAGCTATATCTTTCTATCTTTTGCCTATTCTTAAAATTATTCAAAATGGCACCAGATCATGGTGACAGTGGGAAAGCTTTTCACTGTATTTTACTGTTTCTGTCACTGTAAAATACACATGACAGTAAAATCATTCATTCGTTCATTCATAGGGCTGCTGGCTTGTTATCATAGCGCTCGCTCACTTGTCACCTACCTGGCTGTTCACAACATCCTTGCCTTGCTTTGCCAATCAGCACAGTCATACAACCAGGCTGCTCTGAGGAAGGGTCAATTGGACTCAAAATGTTAACTCTGCTTTCTCTCCACAGATGCTGCGAGATTTCCTGAGATCCTCTAGAAATTTCTGTTTTAGTTTCAGGCAGCTTGCCTTGTTGGCAGCAGTTCTCAGTCAAAGGGAATACACATTTTGCTGTACAGGAGCGTGCTATGTCAATCTCACAGCTGCACCATGTGCCCTAGAAACAGTATGCCCATGCAGCAAGCAATCAGCCATGTCTCATAGTCTTAGTGGTATGGTTCTCACTAAAGTCCATGGGGACACTCGTCAATCAGTGGATCCTGGCACAGCAAGTCAAGGAACAGTCTTCCAGTAGCAGACCAGGGGATTAGCCACAGTTAGGGATCCACTTGGGTGGATCTCGGTCTGGGGGTCCATGCCTGTGCAGTCCAGGGAGTGAGTCATGGTAAATCCACAGTAGCTCCGTTGTAGTCAGTTTGAGGGAGATGTACAGGCATCAACCAGGGATCCAGCTGCGTCACGAAAGGCAGTGGGCAACAGTCAGTCCATTGGGAAACTAAGGAGAAAGGTGGAGGACAAGGGAGGTCACTGCCAAGGGAGGAGACTCAGAAACCTATTCATTGGGATTGGGTGTTGAAGTCTAGGGAAGGGGGAATGACAATTGTGAAAGGGGGTAACTGTATTTGTAAGAGGGGATATGGTAAAGCATGGATGCGACTAAGGTAATTGTGAGGGGAGGGTCTGTGCATAGTCAAGAGCACCCTGGCTTCAAGGGGAGGACAGCATATGTCCGCAGCTGGCATGTACATCTCATATGCCAGCGGCTGGAGACTGCAGGGAAGGTGGGCAGGTGAAGGCTCGTGTACATGTGTTGTTTGGGGACGTAGAAAGATGTGAATGCTATCGGATTCACAGGAAGGAATATCAGATTGGAGACATGGATGTTTGGGCCTCAGACACAAAGAGCATTGTCTGTCACCTTCCAACATGCTAAATTTCAATGGAAAGAAAATGGTTCTGACCACACCCAGATTGGGTGGGATAAGTGTGAGGGAATAGGCTGTAAAATACACTGGTGGGAGACCCTTTAAGGAGAAACAACATTACATACAGACCCTGGGGGCTCCCCTGGACGATCCTAATGTATTGACTCCCTGTGTGCTGTGCATCTCCCTACCCTAGATATCGCTGACCATCTCATGCATACCAACATTTTTGAACAGAGAGGCCACGAAAAGAATATGGATGTTTTAGTAAAGGGGCAATAGTGTCACTTGGCCCTTAGTCCTGTTTACACCTTGTTCATCTTGCTTCCATAGGCTGCAGCAGGCTCTCAACACAGACATTGATCGTGGCACATCGTTGGTGGACAGGAAAGTAGGCCTTATGCTGGTACACTTACACTCAGAGCTCACAGATAGTCCAACCAAACAATTGTAGTACAAAACCAATCAAATTTAAATGAACATGATGCTCATACACAGTGCGCTGTCACCTGTGCCACCAAAGTGCCCTCAGAAGGGTGTTCTTTTCCTCCCTGTATGTCTTAGTGTTGTCCCTGGTTCCACATCTGGGTGGAGCCAGTGGAACCCATTAGCCCTGGATATTTGTTGGGGCAGGGCCAGAGGCATTTGGATAGCCTCGACCCTGCTGAGAATCTTCTTGTCAGAGGCTGGTGGACTGTCCTTGGCTTCAACTTCCAAGAATTGGGTTTGGAGTTTAGGTAGGATGGATCCTGCCATCTCTGGAGTAGCCTGAGAGGAGACTTCTCAGGAGCTACCATATGGGGTTCCTCCTCTAGCTATGTGGCAACACCCTGTCTCCTGTGAAGAAGGGGCACCTGGAGTGCGTGCCAGGTTCTCCATCCCCCTGTTGCCATGCCTTTAGTCTTGAGGGACCAATGTGTTCCACATACCAGTCTGCCATTCCTGTTCCTCTATGTACATCTGAACGAAGTCTCTACAGAATTCTCTGCTGACTGGGGCTGAGCAGGTTCCTGGTCTCCAACAGTCCCCCAAGTGCCAGCAGTCTGGGTCATTTGTTGACAAGCTGAAGAGCTGAGGTGCTCATAAACTTGTTTCTCAAACTTTCTAAGCCTGATATTCTCACCAGTGTTTCAGTTCTGAGCTGGTAGGAGGTGTAGGAGGCAGCATTGCCAATGCTTCCTCTTAGACTGTGGTATTCTTGATCTCATGAAAGTAGCCAACACAATCAATGACCACCCACTCCCCCCCCGCCGCACCCTGGTTGTACTCTTTTCCACCCTCTTCCATCGGGCAGAAGATACAAAATTTGGAAACACGTACCAGCAGATTCAAGCACAGTGTCTTTCCCATTGTTATTAGACTTACAAATGCACCTCTCATATATTGGAGTTGATCTTTCTCTGCACCTTCTGTGTAGCTATAACATTATATTCTGCATTCTGTTCTATTAGCCTGATAAATAAGGTATGATTTATCTGGCTAGCACACAAAACAATGCTTTTCATTGTATCTCGGTACAGTGACAATAATAAATCAAATCAAATCAAATCAGAGATCGAGGGGGTGTTTTCTGACAGAACCAGTCATTTCTCCAT